GAGGGCTTTGCATAGTATTAGAAGAGAAGTATATAAATGTATAGAAGTAATACATGATTTCTCAAAATATTTCGTGCTAGCCTATAATATATATGGTGGTATAAAATAAAATAAAATATTATTATTAATAATATTATGAATATTGTTTTAGATAAATATTAAAAATTGATATTTCATATACAGTGAAACCTCTAAATACCGGACACTCTCGGTCGCTTAAATGACGTCCGATATGTTGAGGTGTCCGCTATTAAGAGGGGAAATACAGTGAGTACACATTTCACCGTTCCCAAAATTAATTCTGTTATTTGGAGTTGCCCGCTATTGAGAGGTGCCCGTTAAAGGAGGTTTCACTGTAAAAACAAAAATAAATTCATATTTTTATTTTATAATTTATTTTATTTATTAAGTGGCTTACCTACTTATTATGTGATTAATCACGTGCGTACTTATTTCTAGAAACGCGTCGATTAATCGCATGAAATTAAGTTTTTATTTAACATATTTTTAACTATTTTGTATTTAAAAATCCATTAAATTGTGTTTGTTTTTAATGTTTAAAAAATATATATTTTTTAAGTCATTTTTCTTGTTTTTGTAAAATCCTCCCACCACCTAATTATAATTATTAATAATAATATTACTCTTATCTTGTTACAGGCGTTCCAAGTGGCGAACCTGATCCGTGAGTATACGGAAGTGCTTCAGTCGCCGCAGGCGTTCAAAAAACGCGAAGGTGGTGGCGGTGGCGGCCGCAAAAACGGTCTGAACGGTTCGAGTTCGAGACCGGTGAGCATACTGCACAAACCGGCGCCGGCGATTGAACTTCAGACATGATCCGAAGACCGACGGACGTCCGATTGTCGGCAGCAGAAAAACGGCGATTGATCGGACAAAACCGCATAAGAATACGTGTAGATTGTCATTGTCATAACATCAACAACAGTGTCCATTATTTCGTTTCCACGAAGCTTATGTTCGAGTTCGTCGTCGACCACTCTGCGTTGTTAGGAATATAATGTAACAATTTTATTATAATAAGTATATCGAGTGTTTTGTGAACTGTAACTGCGCAGTTGTATAAGATATATTTTTTTTTTATGATGGAAATTCAATGCTAAAAAAGCGATTCGCATGGTGTAAATTTAATTTTATGTAGACAAACCCTGTTGTAATAATAATATATTATATTAMAACGGAATTTATTGTAATAGTTGGTTAGGTATATTTTTCTAATACCTATAGTGTACCTATTATTCAACCAAACTAAGGTTAAATTAGAACAACAGACTTTGTCGAACGACTTAGCTGACCATTATTAACCACTTATACACAAATAATGTACTGACTACAATAACTTAACTCCATAGATCGTATGATTGTTAAAAACAATTTACTACCTAGTACTAGCTAAGTATACCTATAAACTAGTAAATTTCCCAGTTGTTATAATGACAGTTAATTCTTATAGTAAAATATAACCATTGATAATATTCTTATAATAATATATAGTCACGATTTTATAAATTTTGTTTTTCTATTTAAATCAATTTACATAATTATTCTATATTATCTAGTTTGTCGTTATTACAATCTAAGTTAAATAATATCTATAAATAAAATTTATCATAAAATTATTTTAATTGATGTATAAGTTTTATTTAGGTAATTTTATAGAATCATAGCTAAAATTTACTCAATTAAATTGTATATTATAATGTGTGTATTGACTAATGCTATAATTCGAAGCGTGGAATGTAGCAACAACGAACGTTAACGACATTTTAATTTTCTCTTCGAACACCACCCAAGAATACGCATTCAAATGTCGACATAATACGGACCAAATATTATACATAATAACTTAGTCGAATTCTATGAGATAAATATTACTCTAAGTTCTCACGCGAGTCGACCACTCATTTCTTGGACACTCGTCTATAAAATCAGATTTACTGACGCTTGGCGTATAGGTAGTTATATATTTTTTAATATTTCATACCTATACAGGTGGGGTACAG